CTGGACTTTGCTGTCAACTGGATCATGAGTCTGGTCTCAGTTTTGTTTTCTATCTGTAGAATGGGCTTGGTATTAATATCTCATAGGGCAACTGTATGCATTAAATGTAAAACACATGTGATACTTGGAGTTCTAGAAAATGTCATATTGTTTAGTTTTTGACATCAGCAGAATTCTTCTTAGACTTATTTGTAATTATTTCCAATTATTCCACCATTGTAAACCTTACCTTCACTAATCTACGAGTCTCATCGTCTTCATCACACAGAGCTGCTTATGCTCCCTGTCTATCCCTAGTCCACTGTGGCCCTACTCTACCTGTGTACTTGTTCCACATGCATCCAAAGGTTGGCTTTGATTGGCAACCACAAGGTGTCTCCTTGAAGAGCAAGCGCACATCTGGTGAGATATGCCTATCCACTTAGACCTGTCTGTTTCTGCATATCTGTGTCTTTTTCTGTCTATTTCTGCAGACCTTGTGAATCAACATGCTTTGGAAGATTCCTTTGAAACATACATTTCCATGACCAGATTCACCCACTGTTTACAGGCTCTACCTTGTAACTGATCATGCCTTGCCATTTTGCTCCTGGTGCTAGCCTTAGTCAATGGTGCATGAATATCTATTGAATATTTTCAGTTTAGAATTTTTAACTCCAAAGTTTTGACTAAAGTTTAATGTGCTTATGGATATCCATGGCATATGTCCTGTGAACTTGAAAAGGTAAAAGTCAACAAACTCAGCAGTGGGTGAGGCTAAGCTGGAGGTTCCTCCCTGGGGACCACTGGGGATGGGAGACCCTGCGTGTGGCAGGTGCGTCTCCAGGACTGGTTGGGAGGCTGCAGCGATCGGAGGAGCAGTTGCTGGTGATGTGGGTGAAACAGGTGGTGGGTCTGTGGCTGGCGATGTGGGTGAAATAGGTGGTGGGTCTGTGGCACCCGTCTTCTGCTAGTGCCTGTCCTGTCACTGCGCCTTCTCTGTCCCCTTGTCACTCACCTCCCCCTGCTTCAGAAAACCACGGTACTTTACAACTAGTCGCTCACTCATGGCTCTTGGTGTCTTCTGCCATTGGCGATCCTTCCATGCTTTCTGGTGCATTCTACGCTCTGACTCTGGCATTATTCTTTTTAAAAGTCCAGAATGTTCTAAGCTAACTTGGATGGATACTTCCAATTTTCCTCTTTTTACTCCTATTTCATGTGAACGTGATAGAAAAGGAGACGTACAAGTAGACCTTTTCATAGCTTTGGTGCTGTGACGTGGCCACTTTGAGTACAGAGAATGGAGAACTACGGCCACACTAGAGGGCCCTACTTCTGCAGAACAGCGACGGCCATGCACCCTGAGGAGACTCTGCCATTTGCTGCAGAGGCAGCTGCTTTGCTTGAGGGAAGGTAGGAGTCATTTAGCCAGAAAAGGGGGGAAAAACAAACCATGACTGGGCTTTGAAATTACTAAATCTAAGTGTAAGAAGGAGATCGATTTTAGAGCGTTGGTGGTAGACAGTTGCCTACTAGTTGGGAACTTCCCCGTAGCCTGTGAGACAGACTGTAAGACCCTGGTGTTGGAGAAGAACAGAGCATTAGACAGGGGACACTTGTGTATCTCTGTCTATAGGTCTGTGTCTACACCTGCATGACACCTGTGTGTCCATGCCCACATCATGTCCATCTCTGTCTGTGTTTATGACTATATGGATGTGGAAGGAGGGAGGAAGTCGGAGGTAAGGGACCTAGAACATGAAATGTCACCATTTTAAACATGCAGTCCTGTGGCTTTGGATCTATCACACCACTCTGGGTCTGTCACCACCATCTATCTGCAGAAACTCTCTTCACACCAACATGAAGCTCTGTACCCTTCACCCAGTACCTCCCCATCCTGGTCCCCACGCCCCAGGAAGCCTCCGTCCTCCTGTCCAGGTCTTTGAAGCCGACTCCTTTTCACTCACCCTCCGAGCACCCTTGAATCCGCAGCGTGTGCCCTCTGGGGGACAGTGTTCAGTTGGATGTTGTCTTTTGATCGGGGAAGGAACTGTTTATGGAGGCACTGTGGCAGCACAGCTGCACGAGGGCTGGACAGCAGAGCTGCCCCTGGCATTGCTGGAGGTCGGAGTCTAACGTGCTGGCAGGGCTGGTCTCCTCTGAGTCTCCCCTCCTGGCTGCTGGGGCTCTCCTGCTGGGTCTTCCCATGGCTCTCCTCTGTGTGTTCATGCCGCAGTGTCCTCTTCCTTTGTTAGGAGACCATACTACTGGACGTGGTCCACCCTAATGGCAACTTCAGGAGCCTGCCTGTGAGCACAGTCACTTCCTGACATCCTAAGGTTCTGGGGCTCATAGCTCCCATTGAAACATCTTGTCTGTGACAGGGAGTGCAGTCCCCAGAGTGAGGGCCTGCTGGGCCCTGGTCCCCACCATCCTGCCACATGTGCTGCGTGTCCCCAGCTCCCCCCTTTCCTCCCTGGCCAATGCACTGTGCTTGGCCATTGCTGCAGTGCGATGACACATTGTGATTCTCCTCTTCTCCTTTCCATGTCTTAGACACTTTCTTTGCTGTTACCATGGAAACTACCTACAACAACCTAAAATCAGAACATTTTCAATCAATACCAACTTAACTTTAATGCTATACAAAAACTTTGTACCTTCCCCCCAAAGGGCTCTTTCCCCCTACTTTATGCAATTGATGTCAGAAATCATGCCTTCCTGCATTACGTATCTATTGGTAGAGATTTATAATTATTGTATGCACTGTCTTTTAAACAGTAAACAAAATAAAATCAGTATAATGCTTAGTCTTACATTTTCCCATGTGTTTTCTTTACTGGAGAAATTCATATTTTCATTTTGTTTTAGTCAGCTATTTCACTGCTGTGACTAAAAGACCCAGCCAGAACAATTATAGAGGAGGGAAAGTTTATTTAGGGGCTCACGGTTTCAGGGGTGTCAATCCACAGACAGCAGAGTCCATTCCTGGGGCCTCCAGGTGAGGCTGACCATCATAGAGGAAGAGTGTGGCAGAGGGAAGCAGCTCACTAATGATCAGGAGGCAGAGACTCCACTCATCAAATATATACCTCAAGCCACACCCCAATGCCCACCTCCTCCAGCCACACCCTCCTGCCACCACTCGATTAATCCCATCAGGAGATTAAGTCACTGATTGGGGTAAGGCTCTCATAAGACGGTCACCTATTCTCTGAGCCGTCTTGCCTTGCCTGACACATGAGCTTTTGGGGAGCTCCTCACAACCAAACCACAGTGCCTGTGGCCTCCAGTGACTGTCTTGTGTCCTTCTGTTTCAACTTGAAGGACTCCAGCGTTCATGCAGGGAAGGCCTGCTGCTAAGGAACTCCCTCACTACGATCTATCTGCAAATGTATTACATTTAGAAGACATTTTTGAACTAAAAGAGTATTAAATGAAAGGAGCCAAATTTCTGGTGCCTTGATATGTCATGGGAAAGAATTACTGGAGGTATCTTTTCTCTACTGTTTTTATTCCAGATGTAGTGTCTCCTGCACTACAGTTACATTTTTCACATGTTTGGACAGATTATAGATCTTCAAAACATGAAAAGTATATCATACAAATGATCTGTCCTTATAATGACCCTGGAATTTCTCTCTTAAAGTGTCCTCTCATCATCTCTCTCTACTTTTGCTGAGTTAAGTGGAACTTAAATAACAACTTTTGAATGCAAATGATATTAGGATCTAAGAACTATAAGATAACATAATATAGCCTCATAGACCGTCACTTTGAAGGGACAGTTCTGCTGGATGAGGACTTCTCAGTTAACCTTGCTTTTCTTTCATCTTTCAAGTATATTGTCATGCTCCATCCAGCCTGCCGAGAAGTCTGAGGGTCGTATTGGGGAGCCCCAGTTGGTGGTGCATTGTGCTCTCTTTCTGCTTCCAAGATCTTCCCTGGGTCAAAAACCCCGTTGTGATGGGTCTTTGGGAACTCTCTGGGTTTATCACACTTACATGGAGTTGGTTGAACTCCTTGAATTTGTACATTCTTTCTGGCTACAAATAATAGGATCACCTACTCAAATGGGCTTCAACTGAGGTAAACGCTGAGAGATCGGCTGCATGTTAAGATGGGGTGGGTCCCTTACAGGTGGATGCTCAGCCTCGAGGATGACATAGAGGGTCCCTGAGCTACCTCATCACCTTGCTGCTTCTATCCTTGGACTCCCAACAATAGCCCTGAAGTTCAGGTTTCAAAATCCAGGCACAGTGAGGTCCACGAGGTCTCGGCCAGCACCCACGCATGTCTTTCAGAGGCAATCACATGGACCTACACCCACATTCCATCCAGTTGAATTGGCTCACAAGCCTTGGTTAGGTAAATTCTGGACAGAAAGAGGGAATTGCCTTGGTTGGACTGGCAAGCTACAGGGTAGGGTGGGTGTTGACGTGGCAGCCACTGAATCCAGCATACGAAGGGTCCTTTAGAAGCCATTCGGAGGTAGTGAGGTGCCAGAGAGAGGGCACGCTCGTACTTGGAGAGACTCCACAACAAACCTGCACACTGGTGCAGCGAGGCCATTGCTCCTGAGTCCAGTTCCTCAGCATGGTCAGGTCAAGTTGGGATCCACTAGGAGGCTTTATTTAGAGGCCTTGCACAGATCTTCTGTGTGGTCACCCTCTGTGTCATTGATCCTGGGGATGAGCAAGGCCATGCTCTCCCTGAGTTCCGGTGTCTGTATACCCTGATGTCATGCGTCTGTCTTGCTCCTCAGTGTGACATAAGGGTGATTGTAATGAGCATATGCATTTTTAATTAAGCTTCAGCTTCTCCAGTGGAGGAAAGTAAAAATCAAAGACATTTTCATTCTTTCATTGGAAGAGTCTTGATTATCAGGAAGGAGAACCAAGTCCTGTTTTAATGGTGCCAAGCTGACTTAATTCTTAGGTCACATATTAAATTCGTTCCCTGGGTATTTCCCCAGTGACTGCCCCGCACCCTCACATGCCTTCTCTCTGTTACAGTGAGCCAAGGAGGCGTTGCCCTGGTCTCCGACATGTGTCCAGATCCCGGGATTCCAGAAAACGGCAGGAGAGCCGGCTCTGACTTCAGGTAGGAGATCAAGCACTGTGTGAAAGCAAGCAGTCCCCTCACCCACACCCCCGTCATTTTGTTTAGCTCTTCTGTCCTTTTAATTGACAGACACAACTGCTTTATTTGCAGATCTCTAAAACATATGCTGGACATTTCCAGATACACCAGAATTGAAACTTTCCAGTATATGAGCCAACAAATACAATTCTTTAAATGTATGTGATCAAATTTGTCTTTAGAGGGATTTTTCTTGTTTTTAGTCTGTTACCATTTGATATTCTAATGCTTTTGATATTCAAAAAGAAGGAAAAATTATAGACTGATAATTATGCCATTAAATAAACTTTCAAAGCAATTAGTGTCAGTGGCAGTCAGTGGGATTGATTCAGAAAATGCGGTGAATCCCTTGACCAGGGTTCTGAGGACCTGGAGCCTTCTCTGGTCGCTGTGGGAGGAGTGCAGCTGGCTCTGTGATCCTGCAACTCCTGCAGAGTCTGGTGTGTATGTGCCTTAGGCCTGTGTGGTCTCTGGACCAGTTAGTGATGGGAGTAAGCTGAAGAATCCAGGGCCAAGGGGCGAGGATGAATGAACCGTTGCTCCCACAATCGCTCCATTTTGGAGGAAGAAACAAAGGGTTGGGGCAAAGGATCAGGGCTAGTGACTGGGCTAGCACTGGGGGGGGGGGCAGTGATGCCATTGGACAGGGAATGGAGCACCGCTCAGGAACCTGGGGAGCTGCTGCGGAGTGTTTAAAAGCAGCAGGGACTTTCCGTTGCCAACAGCACAATGCCATAGACCGGGGGATTATAAAATAGCAAAGAAAAGGTTGGTTTGGGTTCCAGGATCTGGAGGCCCAGGTCGAGGGGCTGGCCCAGGTGGTGGAGTTCTTGGTAGCAACGTCTTCAGTGTCACTGGTCAGCATAGGTCCTTGGAGGCCAGCCTGACACGGGTCTTACTCAAATGATGTTTTTTTGAAGCTGTTCTGCCTCTGGCCGGGAAGAGGGAAGCCAGGGGTGCACACGTGGGCTTGGGTGCACAGCAGATTCGCCCCTGCGACTACCTCAGTCCTTCCCCATCTCTCTTGTTCCCTGCCTCCATGTTTGTAGTGATCAAGTGACTTAACACTTCAGACTGACTCAAAACTCTGTGACATTAGCTAAAGGTGTAAACTGTTACTTCCATCATCCCTGGTACAGGGTTTATGTATTCACACATCTACATACACACAGCTCGTAGCATTTTCTCTTTTCCTTGCCTGCGTGCACTGCCTAGAACCCCTACCCCAAGGCTGACTGGGAATAGGGAGATGTCTGCACCTTATTTCTGAGCTTAGTCAAGAGAAATTCTGGTTTTAGTCATAAGTATATTATCAGCCCAGGGTTCTTCATAGATGCCCTGTGAGGTCCAGGATATAATCTTCTACCTTTAATTTGTTGGGAGTTTCTATTTTAAAATAGAAATAGATAAGATTTTGGTTTTTCTACATCTACTTGGATGGTCTTTTGTTTGTCTAGATTGTTCATACGATAAATAAATGGATGTTCCAATATTTAAACAACCTGCTTTCTGGAATAGAATTAATTTGGTCAAGATGAATTATCCTTTTTAAACGCTATTGGATTTCACTTGCCAAAATTTGTTCGGATTCTTTGCATGTACATTTATCATTGATATGGAGTCTTGTAATTATTTTGTCTAGTTTTGCCACCAAAGTAACACTGAACTCATACAATTAATTTGAAAATGTTCACTCCTCTGGGATATTCTAGAAAAATGTGTGTGTATTTGGTAATTTTTTTCTTAAATGTTGGGAGAATTCATAAGTGAAGCCATCAGGAATTGGAACTTTCTTATGAGCTTAGTTTTTTAATAATTATAAATTCAAAGTATTTTCTACTTAAAGGTCTATTATGTTATCTATTTCATACTTCAACGAACTTCAATACTTGGTATCTTTCAAGGAATTTTAAAATTTCATTTAAGTTATTAAATTTACTCCGAAATCTTTCCATAGTATTTTCTGTACCTTTTAAATTGTGGATGATGCCACAGCTCAAATTCCTGATGTTCATAATTTGTGTTTTTCTTATTCTGCCTGATCTATCTGGCAAGCAAAATGTCAGTGCTATTGATCTTCTTAAAACAAAGTTTAGTTTCACTGGTTTTCCCTATTATTTGTCTCCAATTTTACTAATTTTTTCTTTTTGTTATTAAATTTGTTTTAATACTTTTTCTGATTATTGTGAGTTTTGTTCTTCTCTTTCAAGTTTCTTAAGTGTGAGGCCGAGATCAGTGATTTAAGTCTGTTTTTTTGTTGTTATTGTTGTTGTTGTTTAAATGAGGGTGTTCAAATACCTTTGTAGCACTAATGCTATAAATTTTATTTTAAGAACTGCTTTGGCTGCACCCCTTCAATTTTGATATTATGTTTTCATTTCATGCAGTTCAAATAGGTTTTGTTTTCTTTTATGCTTCCTTTTTGGTTAGACATGCTATTTAGCTTCCAAATGTCTGATGATTTTTCCAAGCAAATTTGTGGTTAAAGAGCAAACTTTGTATATCTGAAGTCCCTTTAAATGTATTGGTAATTGCTTTATGGCTGAGCATATGCTCCTTCTTGGTGAATATTCCTGGAACAAAATGCATACCCTGCTGTTGAGTATGCATTTAATCCACACTGGTTGGCATTGCTGTTAGGCAGCTTTGTGTCACTGTGACCAAAATACCTGATAAGAGCAGCTTAGGAAAGGGAAGGTTTATCTGAGGCTCACAGTTTCTCTCAGTCCAGAGGCGGCTGGGTCCCTTGCTCTGGGCCAAGATAAGGCAGCACATCATGCAGATGGGCGGGGAGGAGGAGCACTGTCCATTCTTGGCAGCCAGAAAACAGAGAAGGGGAAGAAAGGAGGGAGGGAGGGAGGGAGAGGAGGGAGGGTTGAGGAGTGAAGGGGCCCAGTGAAGATGTACCCTTGAGGCTGCAGTCCCAGTGACCTGTTTCCTCCAGCCAAGCCCTGCCCCACCTGCCTAGTTACCACCCACCCCATTCAGACTTGGGTGATCAGGGTACAGCTCTCAGGATCAAGCACTTCACCTCTGAACATCACTGCACCAACACAAGGACTTGGGGGCACCTATATCTGACACATACAGAGACAGAGACGTATCAAAATCTCCTGCTGAGACCGTGAATTTGTGGGTGTCTCCTTGCAACTGCCTTAGTTTTTCCTTTATGCAATTTGAATATGTTAATAGGTAAATGGATTTTAAAATTGCTACGCCTTTTGTTGAATTCATATTTTTGACATTATAAAATAATGTCAAATTATTGTTGGTGATATTTTTTATTCTGAAATTGTACTTGTTAATATTACAAAGCATCTCATCAGAAAAATCTTGAGGCATTGAGAAACTGTCAAGCTCAGGGGGGCAGAGATGATCTTCAAATAGTCTAATTTCTACTAGATGATTTTGATTTTGTGATTGGCTACAAATTTTGTCAGTTGTTTTCTTTGAAGTAAAAGACTCATTCATTCTATTTTTTAAGGAAAATGTCTGACAAATCCTCAAATGTTAACAGTGATGGTTTGTCAGTAGTTCTTTCAGATGAAGCAGTGCTCACTGGGGGAACAGGCAGGGAATCGGGCTCACACGTCCAAACAAGGCCTGTGTCTTTCCTCCAGACCTCCTCAGGGCAGATGTGACATGTAGCCGCATAGTGAGATGTGTCGTGCAGCCGTGTGTTGAGATGTGACATGTAGCCGAGTGTTGAGATGTGCTGTGCAGCTGCGTGTTGAGATGTGATGTGCCGTGCAGCCGCGTGTTGAGATGTTGTGACGTGTAGCCACGTGTTGAGATGTGATGTGTAGCCKCGTGTTGAGATGAGCTGGAGTCAGCAGCTCCCCGCTGCCCAGCCGTGTCTCCGGGAGCCTGGCCTTCTCTGCTGGGTGCATCTCTGCTGTTTGGTGGTGCTGTTGCCGTCTATTTCCCACCATTGCTTTGCTCCCTTGGTGAAGATGGCAACAGGAAGCAAAGCCCATGTCACATGTTCCTATTATTATAATTTTGACTTCCAAGAGCCTCTAAAAGTGCCCCTTTCCAGGGACTAATGGGCCACACCTTGAAAACAGATGTCCTGGGGTGCAAGCTGATTTTACCAGCAAAAAGAATGTTATTGGAGTCACAAGGAAAAATCCAGAATATTTGAAGGAAAATCCATGTTCAGATGTTTGCTACATTACAACTTCAAAGGAATGGAATGTCCTGATTACTGGCAGTGCCAGTTGTGTGACAATCATGGCGTCAGATGCATAGGCCCTCTACTGATGCGCTGCTGGGGCCACCATCTATTCCCAGGTGACAGCAGAACCCAGGTGGTCCTCATGTACCCTGGGAGCACAGCTGTGTGTACAGGTACCGTGTGGCCCTTAGAGCAAAGGACATGTGACTACATCCAGCATGTAACATGTTCACTGCTGACACTGATGTTCATAACAGAGGAAGGATTCTGAACAGCTTGAAGTGTTTCTGAGACAGTTTTTAATGAAAGGCAATTCTGTTCTTTCTAATTTCTAAATTCTTGTAATCAGAACTAATGACGAAGGTATGATCCAAACTAAGGACAGCCACAGTCAAGATGAGTGGATGGATTGTGGTCAGCACTCGAATTCTGTTTTGTTTGGAAAGAGGTTGCTTTATTATATTGGTAAATAGTCTTCATCTGGTTTTATTTATATTGTTTATGGAAATCTTTTTTCCGAAGGCAATCTAAATATTAATCTCAGCATTATCTATAAATTATTTAAAGTAAATGAAGCCTAAAACACAAAGCTTTCTCATTTGAACTCAAGTCAGCTTGAGGACAGTCCCCTCTCCCAAAGACAAAGCGTTTGCTGTAGAGCTGAGTTCAAATAGGATGGATGGAATCACCCAGATGGACCACGTGAAGGAAGGGCTGAGCTGGTGGGAGAGGTCATGGGGGGTCCTGGCCACCGCTGTTCATCCGCTCCCTCTGCTAGAGAGCA